AAAATGTGGCCTATGTTATGGGGTGAAACATGGTTTCTTCTTGTTTTAATTTGCATTCCTTTGATTACTCTTAAGTTTGACCAAGTTTTCGTTGGTTTCTTTTATGGGGTCACAGATCTTTCCTGTGGCTGAAATCCTTTTCCCGCCTGACCTCTCTCCCTCTCTCTCTCAGAATTGTGCTCTCTGTCTGTCTGGTGTGCTCTGGGCAGCTCGGAGTGTTGCAAAGTCCTCCTCTTACAGAAACCTGGAGCTCTGTCCTGCCGCCGGAGGCTTTCCGCTGGGCTCCAGGGCAGTATCCACAGCCCATCCTGCTCAGGTCCCCAGCCCCCACTCGATGTCCTCTCCAGCCACCCTCCACACCTACAGCCCTCAAACACAGTGGGTGACTCCGGGCTCTTTGTCTGAGCTGTTCTCACTCCCCTTTCCACCCTAGCGAAGGCTTCGGGACACAGACGGCTCCGTGCAGTGACTTCTCTGAGAAGCTCCCACTGCCTCCCCGGCAGGGCGGGAGCCCACCCCTCATTGTGCTTCCCTCTGCTCAGCACTGCCACACTGACCTGTCACTGTTCATCTTACAGTGATCCCATGGGAGTGGGGCCCCCACCCCAGAAAGGCACGGGTCAGATGGATCTCTCTGCCCCCTGTGCTTGGCATGGGGTGGGGAGATACCAAACGGGAGCTTAGACAGTGTTTGTACCCAGAAGGAAGAAAGAGGGAAGAAAGGGAAGATGACAGGGAGGGAGTGGAGGGAGGGAGGGAGGGAAGAAATCTAGTTCTCCCTGCCCCCAGACTGGCTGATCAGGCATATGCTGGAGCCCAGCTACCCACCACCCCAGGTCTGCTCTTTCCTGGGCTCAACGTGAAGGATATCCAGGTGGCTCAGGAATTTTCACTATCTGAAGAATCAGCTAGAGAGGCCACTATCTGACCTGGGCACTTCCTGGGTCACTCAAGCCCTCACCTGCCCTCCCCCTGGGCTATCTTTGAACTAGGCACTGCCTTAGCCAGGCTCTGGTGTCTTGGATGGAATTCACAGTGTTCCCCACACTGCTCAGCAGGGTTTGTGGTCAATAGTGATGACTCTGGGGCACTGGCTTCACCAGGCTTCACCCACTGCCACCCTTGCAGGTGGAAAAAGCCTACACAAGCCAGGCTGGGAACTGAATTCCTGCCACAGGCCATGAGCCAGCCTTCTTGCCACCCATAGGTTCCCCTCCATTCCCTTTTGGACCTATTGCCTTTTGCCTCATGCCACTCCTCTGCTCAAGAACCATCAATGGATGCTACTTGCTCATCAGATCAAACCTGAGCCACATGACAGGAATTCAAGGAGCTCCATGACCAAGCTCCAGCCTCCCTCTCTCCCTGCAGGTTCTCAGGACCCCCTCCCCTCCCCTCCTCTTCTCCTGTGGGGCTTTGCCCACACCGTGCCCTCTGCTTGAGATACCCTCATCCCTTTGTTACCTGTTCAAATCCTGGCTTACAACCCACACCTCCTCCGGATCATCCCCCAAGGGTTCCAGCCATTGACAACCCATTTAAAAATAAAATACTAAGCCTTTGTGTACTTTAGAATCACCTGACTTGTTTATGCAAAAGTCAGACCATCCCAGCTCTCTCTGGGGAGGGAGAAGGGGGTGAAGACACTGGACTTTTAAAGCTTCTCAGGAGAGTCCGATGTTACCAGCCCAGCCAGGCCCACTGACCTGCATTTGAAAATTGCCGATGAGAATGTGCTGGATGCCAACCCCAAGTCTACACTGGCTCCTGATGCCTGCACATTGTACACACTCCCCTCACCTCTGCAAATAACAGTCATGGAAACTACTGTTTACTGGGAGCTTACCAGGCACCAAACACACCCTGAGCACTCAATGTGCACGATCTCATCTAATCCTCACAAGGTGCTATTAGGTAGATATTATTGACCTCATTTTATTGGTAAAGACACTGAGGACAAGAGTGGGTAAGTCTCTTGGCCAAAGTCACAGAACTTGGCGGGGGAAAGCCGGTCTCAAACCCGGGACCAGTCGAGCCAAGGCCAGTGCCCTGCATGCCTGCTGTGTGGCCTGTGTGCCTGGGCCGGCTCGCCTTCCAAATGGGCACCTGGTTCTGGTCCTGGTCCAGGACAGTCTGGATCAGTTCGATCCTGTTCCACCAGCACTATTGCCACTTGTTTTTGTTAAGTCCTGGAGATAGAAATAGGGGTAGGGTAAGGCTCCTGCCCATGAAGGACCTCCCAGTCCAGGTGGGGAGGCTGGCGGGGGCATCGCCAGGCACATCAGAAGGGCTGGGACGAGAATGGTACATGCCGTTTGAGCAGGACCCAGGGGAGAAGGTGGGTAGGGAGCGGTTTTGCCCCAGGAGGGGAGAGCAGGGCCAGGTGAGGCTCCAGTGCACAGGTGGAATTGAGCCAGGCCTTGAGGGGCAGGAGAGAAGAGGATGAAGTACATCGGGCAGAGCAAACAGGCAGGACAGCATGAAGGATGCATTTTCCAGTGGCTGCTGCGTGGGAGGAAGTGGTGAACAAATCAGCTGGAAAGGGCAGGTGGGGCCAGATCACGAACGGCCTCCAATGTCAAGCTCAGAAATCTGGCCTTACCCTGTGGGTGACAGGGAGTCATGGAAAGCGTGGGACCAGGGGCATGTTTGCCCTCAGCACTAGCACAGGGAAAGGTACAAGTAGGTGCTTGGTGGACCCTTGCTGCCTGGTTTGTTGATAGATGTCTTTGTCCAACCTCACTGGGGTTGGAATGACCTGGGACTATTGGACAGTTCCTACCAGGAGTCGAAGACCCTGTAGATATACCTCCTCCTCCCCATTTAGCTCTTTTCCGGGAGGAGGGGAAAATTGTTTGAAGTCTCTGAGCCTCAGCGTCCTCACCTGTAAAATGGGGACAACGCACCAGCATGGCAGGTGTTGAGAATGAAATGAGATCACCTGAGCACAGCACGGTCGGTGCATCATTGAGTTGTTACATCTGTGGACCGGGTGACAGAGTAGAACAAGCACAGGCTCTGAGGACCTCGTTTGAGTCCCAGCTCTGACCCGGAACGGCCCTGTCTCATGGCTGGTGGGAGGGTTAAATTCAGTAAGCTGAGGAACGTGGGCGCCGATACCCCGCAGGTGCGGGATAACCAGGCAGGCAGGCGCAACCCTGCGTCTCCTCCTTGCAGCCGGGACGCTACCACTCTCACTGAGCGCTCTGCTCCCCCCTCCCCATCCTGAAAGAGGCGTTTTATTCCTGCCTTAGCTCCCTGTTGCTGGCTGTCAGCCGGCCTGCCCTTGGCCCCTGGCTCACTGAACCCACTCCCCATAGATTCATAACCAGGGCGGGGCTGACCTCCACTGTGCGGATGAGAAAACCGAGGCAAGGAGAGGGAAGAAAGGAGACGGACGTACCCATCCATTCTGTTACAACAGCCTGAGGGGTCACAATTATCCTCCCTGCTGTGTAAATGTGGCTGTAGAGGCTCAGAGAGGGGCAGTGACTTTTCCAAGGCCACACGGCAAGAAAGTGACAGAAGCTGAGGGCAAACCCGGATCTTTCTGACTCCAGAATCTGGGATTCAGAACAAACCTTTACAATGTGGGGTCAACAGACCTCTTCCCAGGGCTGTGGCAAGGACCAGAGGGGGTGATAGACGTGAAGGCACCAGGCACAGTGCTTAAGGACAAGGAGAAGTGGAAGCTTGTCCCCTTCTACCTAATCATATAGAGAACAGGAACGGAAGCCCAGAAGGGCCAAGGCCACGGCAAGCAGGCAGTGGGAACCCAAGCCCCTGCCCCCAGGACTGCTCTCTCTCCCAGTGAAGGACAGGGGCCATCCCGCCATCCCTCCAGGGCCTTTTCCTCCCGCAGAGTGGAAACTTCCAAAGTCCCCCTGACCTTACAGGAGGGTGACAAAAGCAGGAATTTCTGCCATGGTACACAAACCTGGAGCCTGGGGCTGAGAGCGGAATCCCAGGGTTCGCTAAGGCTGTTCCCCCGGGCCCTTCTGCACCCCACCTGCCTGGGGGACATGCAGAAAGACCTCTCACCCTCCCAATTCATCAGCCAGGTAGAGGGGCCATCCCAGAGGCCTGTATTCTTAGAGGGGACTAAAAGGGGCAAGGCCAAGGGAAAGGGCACAATGGTGGGATTTCAGAAGTAATAAGCTGGCGAGACAGACCACAGAGCCCGAAATGATCGGGGAAGAACCAAATAGGCGCCCTCCGAACCTGTGCTCTTCAAACTTTCAAAAGCCACTGGTCCTTCTTTTCAAATGAAATCCCCAGTGCATTCTACTCCCCGCCCCCTCCCCACAAGCACTAGTGCCCCCTGAGGAAGAACCACCAGCAGAGGCCAAAAGGAGGAGCAGCGGCCCTCACGGGAGGCTTGGTGATCCGCAGAACGTGAGCAAGCCCCCGGACAAGGCCGCTCTGTGACCGCGATGGGGCAGGACAAGTCAAGGCCACTCGGTAGCCATGGCCGAGCACAGGCAAACATGACATTGTCACAGCCACCACAATCACCACACATCCTCCTCTCGCAGCTGGAGGATGACAGCCACTTCTCTGCTACCAGCTTCAGCTTGGGCCGGTCCCCCCCCCCCACCCCCGCCGACACCTGGTGGGTTCCTACGCCGCATCACAGGACTAGCGCTGCTTCCGGACCGTATCCAGTCCAGAGCAGAGTCCCACGTCTCGCACCTTCCTCCCAACCACCGCGCACAAGCCCAAATCCCACAGGAGTCCTTCCTCACACCTCCTACTGAGACAGTCCCCCGGGGTCTGTTCTCCACATCGCAGTCAGTAATAAACCCAACTATCAGCTACAGGGAAGCTCCTGGTGGTCTCCTGCAGGCATCAGCAGATGGATTCCGTCAGATACCCCCACCGCCTAACCCCTGCAAAGGTCAAAGATAGGGGCTCCTCCTCTCCCTCTGCCCATGAGGGAGCTGAGGTACATAAAGGCAACCGGACTTGCCCAAGGTCACAGAGTAGGGTGAATATATAGTTTATTGTCCAAATGGGATGGCTTTGAGAGTGAAAGGGGGCACCACTAATAACGAAGCAGGGACAGGGCATAACCGGGGCTGTTCCGGGCAGAGCGGCATATCGGCTCCCCATACACAGCAAGGGGGTGGGGATCCGGGACTGGAGCCGAAGCCCGAGTCCCGGCATCTCCCTCTGCTGCCCCAAGTCCTCAGCACCACTTCCCAGGATGGGGTTGGCGCCTCCCTGCTTGGTGGGCCTGCAGCCAGCGGCCCTTGGATTTCTGGGTAAGGTCTGGACAATGCCCTACCCTGATGATTCAGGGACACCGGGGCCACACCACACAGCTGTGCCGCATGGTCAACCGCTGTGTTTGATGTTCACTTTCCACAGGGTGCCCATGGTGCCCGCCAGGCATGATGCCTCATTTATCCCGCCCAGAGGGGGAACAGGTGGTTTTACATAAAAGAATTTGCAGGTGAATGAAGGTGACCCCTTTAAGAATTGGAAACATTTTTATTTTAACCATCCGTGCTGGTGCTGTTTCTGATTCAGGCCTCCCCCTCCCCGCCCTAGTAAACAGAGCATGGAAACACACCACACCTCACCCGTCTGATGACCCGGGTCATGGGTGGGAACGTCAGTTACGGCGCAGAGGATGTGCCCGGCAACACCTTTCACTGCCCAGGCTTTCATACTGGAGGTAGAATGACCCAGAAGGAAACGGGAGAGTCCAGGGGAGCTGTGCCCTTCTGACCCAGCATGGAGGGCTTCCCTTTCCCACTGCCGGGCCTCCCAGTCCTGACCCAGAGGCCCAGCCCAGGAGAAGGTCTCCCCGTCCGAGGTGGCCCAGAGGGCAAGCTCGAAGGGTGTGGACCTGGTTTGAGGTAGTGCCGCTGCCCCTTCCTCTGAAGCAGCTGCCGCAGCCCCGGTGCTGGGACACAGAGGGGCGTGGCGGAGAGCAGCATACTAAAAGCAATGCTCGGTGAGGCTACAATACAGTGATATCTTCAGGGGCTGCGGACGCAGGCTGAGCTATTGGCCACAGGCTCGCTGGTCCCAGGTGTCACTCAGCTGCCTCGGGTGCGCTGATTTTTTTATTGTGATTCCTCTGTTTCCACCTTGGCTCCTGCTCTGCACCCTGCCCCTACCTTATAAAAAAAAATCAACCTCACTGAATGGCGAGTCCTTTGAAGGCAAGAACTGTTCATCACTTCATGTCTCTTTCCCCCTAAAGATCCTGGCTTACTGTCTGGCACGTAGTAGATGCTCAGGAAAAGCCACCTGAATCAAACTAAGCCAGGAAGTTTCATTTCACCCGCCGTCCTAAGCCAATGCAGATGTATTCTGGAGGTTACTCTGGGGGCTTTTTGCCTGGCTTTGTGACTCCTATGCAGGCCATTTGGAAGTTTGAATGCCAGAGCGTTCTGGTCAGTTCCGTACGCCCTCAGTGACCACTGATTCTGGATACAGGAGATACCAGTGTGAGGGAAGCAAGAGCACTAGCCTTGAAGTCATGCTCCCGTAATAAGTGCTCAAGACCCAAAGGTGGCGCCAAGGAGCTGAGACTAACTTGTTCCAGGAGGTGGTGACATCAGGAAACGCTTTCAGAGGAGGGACATCTGCGCAAGGGTCTGACGGATGAGCACACATTTGCCAGGCAGATGGCACAGGAAGGCACGGAGAGCAAGGGGAGTGTGAGGGGCAGAGGGTGTGGCGTAGGGCTGATGTGGGGAGTAAGTTGGGAGGTCAGCAGAGGTCAGTGCTGGAAGGGTTTGGACCCCTGAGCCATAGGAGCCCCAGGAGGGATGTGGGCGGGGACAGGTGCTCAGCTGTGGGTGAAGACAGATCCCACTGTGTAGCAGGCTCAGCAGGAACGGGAACCCTGAGAGGCCTTCACAGAGGCTCAGAGAACCGGGCGCTGCACCGAGGAGGGCTCCTGTTCAGAGGCCAGCTTGGGGGGAGGCAGGGAAGGTGCTTGTGGGCCCCAGGTGCTGCAAATCCTCTCAATGTATCACATTTCACCTTCAAAGCTTTAACCCCCAAAGTAACAATTAGAACATCAATGTTTCTTTACAGTTCTCCAGGCGCTCTAGGGTCCACCATCTCACCTGAACCTCCCTACAACCCCATTTTGCAGATAGGGAAACCGAGGCCCTGTGAAATCACACAGGGCTAGTGGCTGGTGCCAGGTTAGCACCCAGGGGCAGTTCCATCTAAGCCCTGGGCATCGAGCTCAAAGTCCAGCTCTCTGTCTGGGAGGGGGTCCCCGGGACTGTCCGGCAGCCCATAGTACAAGTCTTCTTCCTCCTTCTCCGGCTCCTCTGCACCTGTGTCCGAAGCCGCCTCCTCCTCTTTTGTCCTCGGGGACCGTTCCCAGTAGCAGGGTGAGGCTGCATCCTGCCACTGCCCCTCTGGAGGTGAGTCCTCCGACATGGGGGCATCGATCAGAGCAAAGTCGTGGAAGCGGTCCAGTTGGCACCTGCAGGCCCAGGGCTCCCGCGGCGAGGGTTCAGGCTCCTCCCCCTCAGGTGGAGAGGGACTGGGGCTGCCGCCCCCGCTGGAGCCCACATCCAGGTCATCCTGGAAGGACGCCAAGGGTGCGGGGCCCTGGGGACAGGCTGGGGGGCTGCAGGGGCCAAGGCAGAGAGAACAGGGTTAGCTCTGAGTCAGATTGCCTGGGTCTAAACCTCAGCCAGTAGACACAAGGCAAGGGGAGACGAGTTCACCCCGTCTGGGCCTTGGTTCCCTCCCCTATAAGGTGGGAACAGTACAACAGTAGTCACTCCTCTGGTGTCTCTGAGGTTTACAGCAGACAGTGGGTGAAAGGCTCTATGCGTGTCAATTTCATTTACTCTGAGCAATACGTTTAAGTAGAATAATCACTCCCATTTTTCAAATGAGGACACATCAGCAGTAATTAGCAGTGTGCGAAGCTCTTTGCACAATGCCTGGCACATAACAGGTGCTCAAGAAATGAGCCTTTATTATGTTATTATCCAAACCAGGTCACTCCTCCACGTCTCCAACAACTCAGGGGTCTCCTCTGGGCCCTCAGCCCCCATCACAGTACACGTCACCCTCTGTTCCCTCACCTGCCTCCCCCATTGGACTGGGAGGTCCTGCAGGGAGTAGGTGCCCAACAGCAGTGGTAGGAGGAGTGAATAAATGGATGAATAAGGAAGCAGTTCATAAACATCCAGGGATGGTAGAGGTGGGGGAGGGGCTCGGGGTGACCTGCCCAAGGTCACAGAGCACAATAGTTGTCAGAGTCTGGATTTGAACTCAGGCTCCCCGGCTCCCTGCCCCCCACTATGCATGACAAGCACTCAGACAGCCCAGAGTTCCTACGGGGTGCTGGACACTTAACTATACTGTCCCGATCTTCATGAACAACCCCCTGCAGAAGGAGTGATTATTCTCATGTGGGGAAAACTGAGGCTCAGGAGGGTAAGAAACTTGCTAAGTTTACACAGCAGACCTGTGGGAACCCAGGCCCCACTAAGCCCAGACTCAGGCATCTGCCACACTTGCTGCCTCTTTGGCCATCCCCACTCCCACTGCCCTCTCTCCTCCCAAATGTGTCCAACCACCCCTGCGGGGCCCACACCCCGGAAGCGGGCATCGTCCCCGCTCCTGCGCTCTGCACACTCACCTAGGACTGCTCTGAGTTGGGTTTCTTTCTCCCCCGACCTCATCCGAGCCCCTGTGGATGACCACGGCAGCCTCCATCCAGGCCTGAGCCTCACGAGGGCCACCTTCCCCTCTATCACCAGCTTCCAGCTGCTGCTGTCCCAGCTCAGGGGCCAGCAGGGGGCGGGGATCTTCGCTGTAGCCCATGACCTTCATCCGGATGTGGCTGAAGTCGGGCAGGCTCTGGTCATAGGCAGCTTCCTCCCACAGCCTTACGTAGGGGGGCTGGGGGCTAGGTGAGGACCCAGCAGACAGCAGGAGAGAGAACAGGCAGGTGGGCAAGAAGTCATTCAACAGACATTGGTGCTGTCCCCTGGCCCACCTGGTCTGGCCGCCTGGTCTTCCCTGATCTCAAAGGAGCCCTTAAGGGTCATTACAGAACCTAGTTCGTGGGCAAAGTAAAGCAGGTGGCAGGGCTCAGACTCTCAGCCCAGCGTTCCTTTCACCGTGTCTCCAAAGTTCACCCCAAAGGCATAACTGCAGAATGAAGGCCAGTCTCACTGCCTGGGAGAGTACCAGGCTCCAGACAGTGGGCTAACAGCTTTGTGATTGTTATCCCATTTGTTCTGAACAACTTTAAGCAGAATAACCGTTCCCAGTTTTCAGATGAGGACATATCAGCCGTCATGAGCAGCTATCGTGTGTGCTCCTTGCCTGCCAGGCTCTGTCAGGTGGTTCCTCTAGCCCTCACCCCTAACTCTGGGAGACACTGAAGGAAACTGAGGCGCAGGGACTTCAGCGGGCTTGACTGGGGGGCTCAGACACGAGGTGTCGGTGCTGGGGCTCCAGGCATCATGTTTTCTCGCTCTCTCTACAGTCCCTCCAGAAAGTGAAGTTCGGAGATGAGGTCCCTGGCCCAGGGTCCCATGGCTGGGAAGTGACAAGGAAGAGCCCAGAACTCAGGGCAGCCTGCGCCTCCCCATGTGATGGGTCCTGAGACTGGCTCCCAAGCCCACCCAGGTTCTGCCACCTCATTTCCCCAGAACAGTCGGTCACCCTGTGTGCCAGGAACATAAGCTACCATCAGGACCTCCTTCCCCAAGCCCAATAGAGAGAGTTCCAGGGCTCCAGCCACAGACGCTGGGCCTGCAGCCTGGCTCTGGGCATGGGGTTACAGCCTCTGGGAGCAGGGCAGGGGCGGCTGGTCCCACCATCTCTCCCAGGCCACAGTGCTCTCTGCCATGTCCTGGAGAGCCAGGGCTTGGCACCTGCGTATGGGCGGTTGGGGGGAGGCAGGTCTGGTCTGGTCTGTCAGTGACTCCCCGTGAGGTTTGGGGCTTGTGCTTGCACTTCTCAAGCCTCATTTTCCACATCTGCATAAGGGAAGGAACATCCTCCTCCACCGCTTCACATGGTTTCCGTGAGGACTGAAGGAGGTGACGGAGGCAAAGTGCCCGGTTTGTGGAGGGCCTACTGTGCACCAGGTTCTATTCTTAGGACTTGGCTCATTCTTATCTCACTGAATCCTCCCTGAACCCCCAGGGGGAAGGTACCATTAATATCCCCATTTTACAGCGGGGGCAAAGAGAGGTACATCACTTTCCCAAAGTCACACGGCCAGTGAGTGGCAGAGGCCCCGGGCTGTGCCTTGGCCATCATTGTCCTCCTGTTTGCTGTAGTCACAGCTCTTTGAGATTTAGTGTCAAACTAAATTCTTGATTTTGATTTTTGGTCTGCCACTAGTTGACTGTAAGACAGGATAAAGTCCCTGAGTCTCAGTTTCCTCATCGGTAAAATGGGAATAATCATGCTTGTCTCACAGAATCGAGAGTTCAAAACAATCCTTGACTTCTAATAGTCTATTCTTAGTTAAGTGGGAAGACGAAGCCAGAGCGTGGAATAAGGGGCAGAACCACTGCCCCCACCTCCAGCCCCCTCCCTCACTCCCCTGTGTAAGGGAGAGGGGCTCACTGCCCCTCCCCTTCATCCACCCCTCCAGGTCCAGAGGGCACAGCTCCTACCCCTTCATCTCGGCAGCGAGTCCGTTCTCCATCAAGCCCGGTGGCTTCGGGGACAGGATGCCTTGGAATTCGGAGTCAGCAGGGACAAAGGCGATCTGCAGGGCAAAGGGAGTCGGCGTCTCTGTGGAGGCTCGCCCGTGCCCTTGGCCGCTGCTCCCCCCACAGCCTGGGCCTCGCCTCACCATGTGCCCTGGGGGAGAGGCCCAGGCAGGGAGCGCCTCCCCTTCATGACAAGAGAGCGGTCTGCTCAGGGCCAGCACCAGCAGGTGAATAAATCCCTGGGCTCCTGCTCCCACCTGGCTCTACATTCACCCAACATTTATTGAGCACCTGCTGTGTGCTGGGCACTCTTCTAGGCCCGAGGGGGCAGCAGGGAATGAATGAGACAAACATCCCTGCTCTGGAGTTGCTCATATCTTGTCATATACCAGGGTCCTCATCCAGTGCCCAGAATGTGCCAGGCACCCCATTCATATGTGATAAATGAGTGGAGAGCAGGGCATGGTCATGAATTTCTTGGCACAGAGGATGTGGTGCAGGACAGATGACTGGGGCTGTGCCCACCAGCCCCTGTCGCTGAACTTTCAGGGATCAAGAGGCTTCTGTAAGTGTAGCCCCAGGCCAGGGGCATGGGGTGGTGGTGGGGAGGTGGGTCATACAGCGGGCAGTGGAATGAGGCAGATGGAGCCTGCCTTTGGGTCTGGGAGGCTGGGTAAGAACCTTCCTTGGACAGGTCAGCTCCCCCCCACCTCCCAGAGCCTCTCTGTCCTCTGTGAAATGGGACTTGCCCAGAAGGGACATTTGCTGCATCGTTCACAGTAGGCAAGAGGTAAAGGCAACCCCAGTGTCCCTACACAGATGATGGATAAACAAAATGTGGCCTATGCACGCAATGGAACGTTATCCAGCCTTAAAATGGAATGAGGTTCTGACACAAGCTACAACACGGATAAGCTCAAAGAAATAGGCCACTCACAAGAAGACAAATTCTGTCTGATTCCACTTACATGAGGTATCTAGAATAGTTAAAATCACAGAGACGGAAAGCAGAATGGTAGTTGCCACAGACTGGAAAGAGGCGGAGGAGGAGTTACTGTTCAGTGGGTAGAGAGTTTCAGTTTTGAGATAAAAAGAGTTCTGGAGATCTGTTGCACAATGTAAATGGATTAACACTTAAAAATGGTTCATTCTATGTTGTGTATTTTACCACAATTAAAAAAAATAAGACTAGCAATGCCCGTCTGCTGGGGCTGCTGTGAAGATTCCATGAGATAATATATAAGGAATCCCCAGCACAATGCCTGGCACGTGGTAGCTGCTCAGCAAATAACAGCTTGATGCCACTGAGGATGCAGTTACCTTCTGAGTCCTGCTCTCCTCAACTGAAAATTTTTCAACAAATATTTGATGAGACCCTTCTGTATTGTCCCAGGTTCATAAACATCATGGCCCCTTTTCCCCCCTCGTGGAGTGCAGGGAGTAAGAGACACTTGTCTGCATCAGAAGAGCCCCATCCTGCTGGGGACAGCAATGACAGGCGGAGGAGGTCTAGAACTCCTTGGAGGGCTAAGCTTCCCCCCAGATGTCTGGACGTAACACAGGGCCCTGGTGTCTTCCGCACCCGCTAAGGATGCCCTGCTCTTGCCAGCTGCCTCTGAACTTCGAAGAAGCTGCCCCTGCCTATGCCTCAGTATCTCATGACCCAGTCACCACCTTCCTCCTCCTCATCGCCACCCCATCATCACCATCACCACGATCCCCATTCACTCCATCAGCATTATCAGTATCACCCCCATCGACGTTATCGTCGCCACTGTGAAAAGCCTGGAGGAGAAGGTAAGACTGGAGCACCTCAGAACACAAGTCCTTTTAAGAGAGGAGAACTGGCAGAACTGAATCTAGGGAGCGGGGATCAGACCGTGAAGACCCTAGAACATTAGGCTAAGGAGTTCAGCCTTTATCCAGAAGCAATGGGAATTCTGGGGGAATTCTCAGCGGGACAGCGCAGACAGATCTGTGTTTAGGCAGAGCAGTCAGCAGTCCCCAAAAGGAGGGAGCAGAGGCAAGGAAGGGGCCCACGGAGAGGACAGAGCCATCAACCACAAGTCAAGGGCCCAGCCCTGGGCCCAGCCAAACAGGCAGGAGCGAGAAGCGGGGGCCTGTGGGCAGAGGCAGGGGGTGGACAGGGAGAGGCACTGCTTTCCCTGCCAGTCCTCCCTCTTCTGGCAGCGCCCCCGCCCCATCTCGGCTAGCAGGGGCAGCATCCGTCCCTGTCCCCCCACTAGACTGTCCCAGATTTCTCCCCCTCTCTCAAGCCTAAGGCCCAGCCGACCACCATGTCGGACCAAGCCTACCTCAGAATTTCAGTGAGGTAAGCTAGGTGGAAGAGCCAGCACCCTGTCCCACTCCAGCAGGTGCTATAGGTGTGAGGAATCTGACGTGTCTTCTGAGTTCCTACAACCTTGGGGTCGCATTCTGCCTTAGTCCAGGAGACCATCATCTCTCGCTTGGACCGGAAAGGGGCCTCCCCAACAGGATGTCCCTGGACCTTCCTCCTCCCAACGTCAGCGGGATACTCTTCCTGAATTACAAAGCTGATCATGTCCCTCCCTCGCCCCATCCACCAATGGCTAAGATCAGATCCAAATTCCGGAGCATGGCATCTCAGGCCCTGCAGAGCTAAGCCCCCTTCTCTCTCCTCCTCCCGTCCCCCAGCCCCACACCCCTGCCACACCCCCTGCCGTGCTCTTTCACCTGGCATCTTTGGTCAGGCTGTTCCTTCTGCCTGGACTGTCTTTCCCATCTTCTCTGCCTGGTGAACTTCTACCAGCCCACAGAGCCAGCTCACCTCCTCTGTGGAACCTGCCCCCAACCCATCAGGCAGAAAATTGTCTTTCCTGCAAGACCCCCAGCCCCTCATAGACAGGGACAGCTTACTTCATATTGGTATTGGCTACCTCTAACCTTCATATCGTAATGGGCTGATTCCAGTTCCTTATATTTATATTTCTTTCAATCTAGGAAATTCCCATCTATCAGACATGCAGAGGCAAGGTAGGATCCTGACTGGAGGACAGGCACCAGCATTTGCTGAGCATTTTGATGGCGGGGACACCAAGGAGACGATGTTGGAGACAGGGCCTTCCCCTCTAACGTGCCTCGCCAGTGTCCCGCACACTCCCCTGCCGCCCCTTGGCGCGCCGTGTCTCAGACCCACACAGACCCACACCTGCACTCGCACAGACTCAGTCCTGAGAATGACACACAGAACCAGCTCTGGGCCTGCTGTGATGCCGGGTCTCCCACATACAAACCCCCACTGGTTCCTCCCACTCAGCTCGGGAGGCGGGAGGCTCCCTCTGACAAGGTCATAGAAGGGAGGCAGGAGGGAGGAGGGATTTGAATCCGGGCCTGTTGGACACTCAGACGTGTTTCCACCCCACCTGCTGCCTCCACAGCACGGGAACACGTGAATCTATCAACAGTTACTCATTAATACAGAGCAATATTCCCCCTCCCCTCTGTCTCCCTCATTCCCCACTGCCACCCGGTCACCACCCACCACCCCAGGGCCACGTCTGGTAAACAGGGATGGTGCAGGAAGGACACTGCCCTCCGCACCCCTGCAGTGTCCGGGGTCCAGCCTCATCACTGGGACGAGGAGGAGGATGGAGGTGGTTACGTGGGTGGCTCGGGCCCCAAGTACCTCCTCTAGGTGACCTGTGCTCAGGGCATTGCACAGACAGAGGCGAGTTGACTGTAAACTGCTGGGTAAATGACTACAAACCAGCCAGGACCGCCCCAGCCCCAAACATTCTGACGGCCCGGGGCTGGCCCATGGAGGGGGCAGGGCTGGGAGAGCCAGGCTCAGGCCCAGGCCCAGGCCCCCGGGAGCCTCCTCCCCTCATCACCTTCCCCAGCACAGCCTCCTGGTGAAAGACGAGGAGGGGCTGCAGGTGGTACGGGGCTGCCGAGGGCCCTAGATGTCAGGGCCAGCGGCGCCTTTAGATGTACCCCCTTTCATACCCCTTCTTCCTGACTCACACATTGTACAAGGAAGGAAACTGAGGCTCAGAGAGGGAAGGGACTTGAACAAGTCTTCCAAGCAGTTAGAGACAGAGCCCAAGTTAGATTCCATGCTTCTCTCTTTGTCTCCCTGGGTCTGTCTGACCAGCTGTGTGACCTTGGACAAGCCACACAACCTCTTGGAGCACTAAAGGCTTACAACTCCCAATGTCCATTCCACAGGGTTGCTGGGAGGATCAATACCCATAAGGGTGACAGCCATAACATTCTATAGTTTATAAAACATTCCTATATCCCATATATTCTCTGTTCATAATAACTCCATGAGCTGGAAGAAATAGGGATTTGGGGCCCCATTTTGCAGATGTAAGTACCTGAGGCTCAGAAAGACAAAGGTCAGTTCTGTTTGGGACAGAGCTGGAACTAGAACTCAGGACTCTTAAACCAATGCTATTCCCATCACTAAGTCACTCACAAGGCTAGGAGTACATTGAAACTCTGAAGGAGAGAGCGCTACTGACCCAAGCCAAGCTACTAACCCAAGGGTTACACCTGGCCCACCCAGAACTCTCAGCAGTTCTGGGACACAGGGATAGCCCTCCGAGGTGGACTATCATCTGAGATATGGACACACATCTGACCCTTAGGAGCTGGGCGACCTCACTTTTCTGGGCTTTAGGCTTCTCCACTATCAAATGGAACTACAGAGGTGTAAAAACTCTGGAGGAGGACTGAGCTGCACCGTAAATGCAGGAGTGACTGGCAGGTAGCAAGCATTCATTTACTTTGGTTTCAAGCACATGGATGGTTGTGTGTTGTGTCTCACTGTGTCTCCTCACGGGCCTAGTTCAGGGCTTCAGATGCAAGGAGACTTCTGATAAATCTTTATGGTAAGGGATGGATGGATGGACGCATGCATGCATGCATGGATGGGTGGGTGGGTGGATAGATGATGAGGAGAGTGGAGAGAAGGCAAGGGAGCCCAAAGGGGGAAGATGAAAAGGTTGTTGAAGGATTGGGCATTATGCCTGGAATAGAGTCTCAGGCCCCTGCCCTCCTGGCTGCCGGCCCCTGCCCCCAGCCGACCCTCCCCACCACCGCCTACCTTGGGGTAGCACTGACACATGCTCCAGATGACGCCCCCGATCACCATGACGCTGCCCATGGCGTAGAAGGTGCCATAAACCTGAGGCCGGTCGTGGCTCATGAGGAACGTGCCAAGGGCCAGCAGGAAGAGCCCCAGCACAATGAAGCCGATGCGGAAGGTCTTCTCGTCCGCCATGGATGTTCTGCCAGGCCGCAGCCCGTGCACCGCCCGCAGAGGGGCGCCCGCACACCGGCGTGGACACCGGACACCTCACACCTGGAGGGAGGACGCTCCGGGATCACTGCAAACCTGGACTTACAGTTGAAGAGGGGACAGGTCCAGCCGCAGCTCCGGGACCCACGGGCTCACCGGGCTGCAGGAGCTACGCTTCAATGGCCTCTGCCCCCACCACCCAACCTTCACTCCTCTCACCTTCCCTCTGGGCCCAGCGGGAGTGTGTGTGTGACTCTGAGTGAGGGAGTAGCCAGGAGGCAGAGGGGGTGGTTACAGGAGCTGGGCCCCAGCCAAGGCTTTGACATCACCTCATTTGCCTGTGTGGGGCTGAGCTGGATGGACAGGGGGCCCCGCACCAGCCAGTCATGGGAAGCCCGGTCCGATGCTGCAACCAAAACACATCAGAACGCCGCTGGAAGATTCCAGGATCCCACAGGCTGGCATTTTAGAATCCTGAAGGATTCTAGGCTCTTCAAGGTCGTGTGTCCCTCTGCGGTTCAGGAAAAATAGTCCCTATTCACTGGACAGTGGCTGCATGCATGGCACTCTTCTGAACACGCTATAGTGACTACTCACGTAAGGGGAACTTCCTGAGGCAAGCAAGACTATCCCGCTTTATGAGGACACCAATGCACAGACAAGTCACTCGCCCAAGGTCACACAGCTAGAAATGGCACAGCAAGTGGGATTGGAACCCAGAGGCCATGCCCTTAGCCACTGTGTGATACCCCCTAACTGTAGGAGGAGGGTTAAAATTTCAGACTCTGGGGGCCAGGCACACTGCCTGGACTTGGGTCCTGGGTCCTCTACTGTGAGGCAGTGTGGCCTTGATCAAGTTACTTCCCTTTGCCTCAGTTTTCCTCCTCTGTAAAATGGGGATAATGACAGCACCTCCCAGGACAGAGCAGTCTGCTGGCCTGGCCTCCCTGGGTCCCTCTGTGAGCTGCTCCCAGAAAGGCTTGGGTGTCTTAACGCTCCTGTAGGGTGTGAATGACTAACGGCGATGTCCTTGCCTTCTACTCTAGGAAGATGCCTTAATTCTAAGAATGACATTGGTGGAATTCCAGTGCGGGGGACAAGCTGATGGGAAAAATCAGATTCCCTTACAGGATTATAGGAAAATGAGGAACATCTTCAAAGAAAACGTTAATTTGTCATTTGTACAGGGTTTGATTGCCAATGTGGGATATGGCTTCTATTTGGCATCTTGAATTAGTAGGTTAGGGATTTTCCTGTTGTCATCACTGTCTCCTTCCTCTCCAAGGTGCCTGCTTCCAGACACCACACCTAGGCTCACGCCACACCCTCTGCCGGCTGTTTTGCCCACACACGCTTCCCCCCACCCCCAGCGGTTTCTCCTTCACCAGCCCTGAACTCCCATGCTGCTTACACCCTGCAGTTTGCGGTGTAGGCTCCCTGTCAAAGAGCCCAGGAGAAAGCTTCCCAGTGAAAGATTGCTGAGGATCTCAGAGGAAGGCTGAGAGTTACTAGGTCACGACTAGGTCTGAGTCCCTGAGCTTGTGGCAGCGCTCTTTGCTTTAGTTTTGTCACCTGAGGACTGAGGGTGGTATCGGGGCACCCTCCCTGGTACTGTGCAGGTAAGTGACCTAATGGAGGAGAAAATGCTTTGTAATCTGTGCTTATCAATAGGGCGGGACCCACCACAGAAACCCTATGGTCATCATCTTACAGAGAGGATCAGAAAAGGGAAGCAAAGAGTGCCCTTCCCGGGAATGGAAACGGAGATCCACAGGGGTCTCCGCCTGCCCTCTCTGGCTGTCCCAGTCCAGCAGGCGTCTCTCGCGCCCTCTTGTGGCAGTGTAGTCTGCGCTCGGTAAGGTGCTTTCATCCCCTTTGGGTCAGGCCCTTGTCCCTCCGCCCGAGAGGGGCGCAAGGGAGGGGTTTTCATGCCCACTTCACGGGAGAGGAAACTGAAGCTGGGGCGGGGAAGAGACTGCCCAAGATCTTCCCAAACTGAGTCGGTGGCTGAGCGGGGACCGGGACCCACACCCACATAGCCTCAGCCCCATTGTAGATGGATCTGGTCCTTAATCATTCCTTCTCTCCCCACCTTTGCTTTCCTCTCCGCCGCTCAGTCTTTCTCCTTTCTTTCTCGTCTTTAAAAAAAATAAAATAAAATAAAAAATTAGGGGGTGTAAGTAAGACGCTTTGGGACAAGTAGATGCTCAGGAAAATAGGTCTATTCTAACCTCTTCCCCAGAGCCGTGGTGAGAGATAGATGGCAGGGTTGGGTTACCTACGCGTGGTCCCATTCCCCTCCCACTGGCATCTGCCTTCTTCCTCCCACCCAGGCGAAGAGCGGAAGAGTGGGCGGAGCGGCTGAGGAGTCATTCGTCTTCCAGCAGAGGGCGCGCTAACCACTGTTTTCTTCCTGCCCGCGGAATTGCGGATCCTCACAGTACCCTCAGAGGCGTGGAGGGGGAAAGATCACCCCCATCTGACAGATGCAGATATCGAGGTTCGTGGAGGCAAGGGGAGCAGCTCATGGTCTCAGAACCTGTAAATAGTAGAGCCAGCATTCCCACCAGGTCCCCTCAGTCTCCTGTTGAGCACCTGCTATGTGCAGGGCACCCTGAGGTGTGAGGCATTCTGATAAGCACGGGGTTTCAGGGTGATGGCACTTGGTCCTACCTTCCGGGGCAAAATATAGTGAAGGCTCTGAGATCAGTGTGAGGTTCAGTGTATGCACAAAGCAGAGAGGGATAGAGTCGGGGACTGGGGTGAGTAATGGAGAGATTCACAGAAGGGAGCCTTGAGGAGTCCTCTGGAGTTCTTCTGTCAGGGCAAGAAAAGCAGTTCAGACCAAGAGACCAGCACGTGCAAAAGACCAGGGGCAAGGAAGCACTGGCACATGGCCGGTAATAAAACTCTAAATGCAATGCTCACACTTGTCTCCGTACTGCATGCTCCTCTCTTCTCTCCTTCCTCCCAGACCTCCTGCTCCCGGGTCAACTCCATCCTTCCAGTGTTATCCACGCCAGCATCTAGATATCCTGGCCAACAGCCTCACTGCCTCTCTCACCTACATCTTGTCGGCTCCACCTTCAAGGTATAAGAATCCCATCACTTCTCACCCCCTCACTGCTGCTCATCAGCCTGATCTGAGCCTCCATCATTTCTGTCCCTCATAGTGCTCTCTGCTTTTACCCTTGCCCTTGGAAGTCCCTTTTCAATCCAAATGCCACGTCGGACCTTGCCACCCCTGATCAGAGCCTGGGAATGACTTTCTGTCTTAACCATGGTGAAAGCCAAAGACCTCAGAATGGCCCACAAGACCTTAGATAGTTTGCCCATCTTGCCTACCCCATCCCCCCCTCTGAGCTCATCTTCTGCCATGCCTGGCCTCACACCGCTGCCCCAGCCACCCTGGCTCCGTGCTCTCCTTGGAACACACAGGCACCCCAGGGCCTTTGCACTTGCTGTTCCTGCTGCCTGGAATGCTCTTCCTCCAGATATCTGCATAGCCCCCTCCCCTACCTTCCTCAAGTGTTGTCCAAACGTTAGCTTTCCCTGATGAGCTGTCACCTCCTCTCCCAGGTGTTCCCTATCCTTTCTAGATTTACTTTGCTCTATGGTACTTATTGCCATCTCTCATAGTATGTACAGTATTTATTTATCTGGTCTCTTGTCTGTCTCCCCTCAACTTGAACGCAAGGGCCCAAAGCGGGGACTTTGTTTTGTTCACTGTGGTGTCCTCAGGGGCTAGAACAGGGTAGGCTCTAGATTCGGTTTGGGCATGGAGGGATGGGTATATGTTCCAGAGGAGAGGGTGCCAGAGAGGAGGCACGGGCTGGCACCTCCTGGTCATGCCAAGCTGTCCACCATCCTTCTCAGAAGTCCACAAAGAGCCTCTAACAGGGTTATGCAGGCTTCAATTTTACAATGATCCCTTGGTTCCAAGATCAGGCTGGAAGAAGCAAGAAGAGATGGTGAAAGTGAGGGGTGGTTGCCAGGCTCTAGATGAAACCTGGGGGGACAAAGACTAAAGTGAACAATTTCTAGAAGTCATTCGTTGCTGGTGGAGGAGAGAGGGTGGCGTAAAAATTTACAATTGGGAAATTTCCGACTGATTTGAGGTGGAGAGCTGCAGGGGTCGGGGTCACCAGCCAACCCAGAGGGAAATGCAGGCTCAGGGAAAGTGTGGGAGAGGCCTGAGCCTGAGGGACCCCAACACCCCAGGCCTGGTGGCAGGCACCAGCTGGGGGCTCTGAGTGGTGGGTGTAGAAACCAATAGCCAGGCCCATGATGGAGACAAGTTAGGGGCTGTGGAGTGGCAGAGCTGACCTCACATGGTTCCTCCACCCCCATGCCCTGCCAGTGAGCACAAGGGTCCACAGTTCACAGCAGGGCCACTGCAGCTGAGAAGGGTTAGGTGGCTTGCCTGACAGGAGACTGGCTCCACAGCCCACAGCCCCGGATCAGCCTCCACAGTGTTGGTGACCTTGAGCAAGTCACTGCCCCTGCTGGGGACTTTCACAGATTAGTTGGTATAGAGAGAAAAGCAGAACAGCTTTTCCCCAGTCCTCCCGCCCTCCCCTCCCTCTACACCTTCCAGCGCCTGCCAGGCACCTGTGGTGCCTCCTAGTCACCCTGCAACTCATTAACTCACCTGCCAGGGGAGACTCCTCACTTTAGGGTAGGACGGAGGCAGGGCTCTGCTTCCCAACCTGGAGCCCTATTAATGTTTCAGGAATTTCAGAGAGCCTGATAAACCCCACCCTTATCCCCGGGATACCTATGGGAAACTGGTGGAGGGGGGTGGGGGTGGTGGGCATATAATAGAGAGAAGGAGAGAAGGAGGCCAGCTCAAGGTCACACAGCAAGGTCAGGGCCAGGGCAAGACTCAAACCTACAAGCAAATTCCTTCCTTTGGCCACAAAACCAACATCCTCTGCCAAGTGTCTTTAAGATCACATCTTTCATTAGCCCTCAGCAGCCTT